CCGTAATTCGGGGGACACCCGGAAAGCTGGGTTGCTGTGCTGCAACGTGGGGACGGGCGTGAATGTCCCGGCGGTCTCCAGCAGGGAGGAGCGCTGCCCGGCTGCAGACCAGGGCACAGTGGCGGTGGGAATGAATTCCCCAGGGACCCGTAGCGTCTGACCATAGACGAGCTCCGCCGACGAGGACTGCAGGTCTTCTTTGGGGGCACACCTGAGGCCGAGCATAACCCACGGGAGCTTATCCACCCAGTTGCCGTCTATCAAGCCGGCACGCAGTGACGCCTTCATGGACCGGTGAAACCGCTCACACAATCCGTTAGCCTGGGGGTGATATGCAGTGGTGCGGTGCAGCTTGACCCCCAAACCCACAGCAACAGCGTTCCACAGCTCCGAGGTGAACTGAGAACCGCGGTCAGAGGAGAGGTCAGACGGGTTCCCGAATCGCGCCACCCACGTGCCGATGAAAGCGCGGGCGATGTCGGAAGCTGATGTCGAGGCGAGGGGAACGGCCTCGGGCCAGCGGGTCGTCCTGTCCACCATCGTAAACAGGTAAGTGAAACCGTGAGAGGGGGGAAGCGGACCTACGAGGTCGACATTGACATGGTCAAACCTCCTCTCAGGAACCGCAAAAAGTTCAAAAGGGGCCCTAGTATGGCGGTGGATTTTGGCCCGTTGACAGGCCACGCACGAGTCGACCCAGGACCTCACGTCCTTCTTAAGCCCCTGCCACACGAACTTCTGTGACAACAACTTCACGGACGGCTTCCTACCGGGGTGGGAAAGATTGTGAACCGCCTCAAAAACGGGTCGACGCCAGTCCGCAGGGACCAGCGGTCGAGGCTGGCCCGTGGAGACGTCACACCACAGCTTTGCGCCAGAGTCACCGACCGTGACCTCCTCCAGGCGTAATCCCGTGACCGAGGCCTTGAGGGTCTGGACCCCGTGGTCAGAGGCCTGGTCAGCGCCCATGCGGAGGTAATCGAGGCCCAACTGCACAGCTCCGATGACCGCTCTGGAGAGGCAGTCCGCGACCACGTTAGCCTTGCCAGCGATGTGTCGTATGTCCGTGGTGTACTCGGAGATGTACGAAAGCTGGCGTTGCTATCGGGCGGACCACGGCTCGGCCACCTTGGACATGCAGAAGGTCAGTGGCTTGTGATCCACGAACGCCGCAAACTCCCGGCCTTCCAGCAGGAAACGGAAGTGGCGAACCGCCAAATAGAGACCAAGGAGTTCTCTGTCGAAAGCGCTATACTTGCGCTCCCTGGGAGTCAACTGGCGACTGAAAAAGGCGAGCGGTTGCCAGGCGCCGTCGACCCATTGTTCATGCACCGCGCCCACTGCGTAGTCAGACGCGTCGGTGGTGATAGCGATGGGGGCCCTGTGTGACGGGTGAGCCAACATGGCGGCTTCGCTCAGGGCGGCTTTGGTGGCGTTGAAAGCGACCTCCCTTTCAGCCGTCCAGTCTATGGCCTGGCCGGGGGATTTGTCCCTGAGGGCCTCGTACAGCGGGCGCATGGTGTGGGCCGCCCGGCGGATGAACCGGTGATAAAACGTCACCATCCCGAGGAACTCTCGGAGCGCCCGAGCTGTAGGCGGTCGTGGAAAGGCAGACACGGCCTCCACTTTCGACGGGAGGGGGGCGGCCCCGTCCTTGCTGATAAGGTGCCCGAGGAAATGGATGGAGGACAACCCGAACTGACACTTCGCCGGGTTGATAATCAGGCCGTGTTGGTTGAGCCTCGCGAAAAGGACCCGGAGATGTGCCTGGTGCTCTTCAGAGGAGGAGCTGGCGACCAGGATGTCGTCTAAATAGACGAAGATGAATGGCATGTCTCTGAGCGCTGAATCCATCAGCCGCTGAAAGGACTGAGCTGCGTTCTTAAGTCCAAACGGCATACGCAGGAACTCGAAAAGCCCAAACGGCGTAATTACCGCAGTTTTGGGGACGTCCGAGGGGTGCACCGGAACCTGGTGGTAGCCCCGCACCAGATCCACCTTGGAGAAAACCAGCTTGCCCGCCAGGTGTGCAGAGAAGTCCTGGATGTGAGGGACCGGGTAGCGGTCTGGCGTAGTGGCGTCGTTAAGGCGGCGGTAGTCACCACACGGTCGCCAGCCACCGGCTGATTTAGGGACCATGTGAAGCGGCGAAGCCCAAGGGCTGTCTGAGCGGCGGATGATGCCCAGACGCTCCATGTTGACGAACTCTGACTTGGCGACTGCCAGCATGTCAGGGTTGAGCCGCCGGGCCCTAGCGTAGACAGGGGGGCCTTCAGTGTCAATGTGGTGCTCTACCCCATGTTTGGTAGTGGCAGCGGAAAAGGTGGGCTGCGTCAAGTCGGGAAACTCACTGAGAAGGTGCTGGAACTTGTCGCCCTGTGAGAGTGAGCTGGAGAGCCCGCTGAATGACGCCTCGCCGCGGGTACACGTGAACGAGGCAAACGTCAGTGCGTCCACCAGGCGGCTGTTCTTGACGTCCACCAGCAGTCCGTGAGCGCACAGGAAGTCTGCGCCGAGGAGAGCGAAGGAGATGTCAGCCGTGACGAAATCCCACTTAAACCGCTGACCCTCGAAGCACAGGTCCACTGTCTTTGTGCCATAGGTGCGAATAGGGGTGTCGTTAGCGGACGTTAAAGGTGGGCCGTGGCCTCCACCGGCAGCGTCCTCCACGGTAGCCTGCAGGACGCTCCGCTGGGCTCCTGTGTCACAAAGGAGTCTGCGACCAGAGAGGGTGTCCCTGATGAACAGGAGCCGGTTGGATGTGCCCACGCTCGCGGCCACTACCGAGCGCAGGCCTTGGCGTTTCCCGTTACCTTGTAGGTGCAGGGAGGACGGCACATCTTCGCTTTCGCCCCATAGCGTGCATGGTAATAGCACAGCCCAGGGCTGGAGTTGCTGACGTCGGCCCCGGAGCTTCTGCTAGGTGGCATGCCTGTACCAGGGAAGGTGCCGCTGCGTGTCGGGGCCAGCACCTCCGGGGCAAAACGCTGGGTTGCCAGGAAGAACCGGTCAGCTTCTTCGGCCAAAGTGCGGGGCTCAGTAATAGCCGTGTTAGCGAGCGCTGTCTGTACATGCGGCGGCATGTGCCAAAGAAACAGTTCTATGAACAAAAAATTAGGTTCTTCCGTACCCAGCAGGCTGAGCATCATCTCCATGTGGTCAGAAGGCTTGTTGTCCCCCAGGCTATGAATAGCGAGCAGGCGTCGGGCCCGTTCCGATCGTGACAGCTCGAAAGTCTTTAGCAGGAAAGCCTTGAACGCTGCATATGTATCCTGGGCAGGAGGAGATGTAATAAAGCCCACCGTCCGGGTCGCAGTGGAGCTCCCCAGCGCCGAAACGACGTGAAAATACCGTGCTGCGTCGTCAGCCACTCCGCGGAGCGCGAACTGAGCCTCCGCCTGAGCGAACCATGCAGCTGCAGATGTCTCCCAAAACTCCGGCAGTTTGAAAAAAACGGCGTTACTTGCCATGCTCGGTTCAGTCTCGGATCCTTCAACAAGACTTATGTCGGGGTCACCAATGTGGTGCCGAGAGACGGGAGTCGGAGGCGGGGTATCAAAGTTACAAGCTCTACTTTTATTTAGCATCGAAACACCTATGTAAACCACTTCATGCCCGGGAAGCGAAGACCGGCGGAAACAGGAAGTCCGGCTCACTCAAATGTCCGTGCGGAACAATACCCCAACCCATAGATCCGTGGGTGAATAATGTCAATCACCACAGTAGCCCCATTCCAAACGATAGATCGGCCGTTAAAAAAGAACAACTGGTCTGTTGTAGAAGTCCACATTCTTTGTTAGTAACCTATTTGGGGTAATAGTTATCTTGAAACATGCACTTATTAAGTACCCCCTGCACTTTAGGCAAACATTAATGTTTTTTATGGTGTCCAGTCAATGTGTCTTCATCTGCACATTCTTTCTGTGTGTGCTGTGTCTGCTCCTGGCTCAAATTAGTGTCATCCCTTATATACCACCGTGAGCTGTTGTTTGCTACAACCTGCAGTAGCTAACATCCATTAATGCCATTAAAGTCTTTATCCAATTTAAGGTCTGTGCCGGCCTGGATCAGCTGCTGCTGGAATCAGCTGAACGCCATCAGGGACACTCACTGTGTTACTCGTGCTTTGTCAGCCTATTTTTTTTTTCTTAGCTGACAAAGCACAACACACTTCTCTTGGAAACATTTAGTTTATCATGTGTAACATTGATGCTGTAAAATACTAAAAATAAAAGATAAAGGTTCACAAAACAACACACCCACATCATAGATCATGGTGAACAACTTGGTTAAATATATTTTAGGAACAGCCTGTGCTACACTAACCACATTACAATACTTATTGTTATTATTATTAAGGTTTTTTTTTAAGGTGGCATAATGTTCATTGTGTTGTTCTTCTAAAAAATGTAAATCTGCAAATGATTACCCATTATTAATTAAAAAAACACATGTTAGTATTTCAGGAAATGGTGGGAAGATGCATTCACTTCAATATGTTAAATGTGTCAATTCTTTTGACAAGAAAAAGTGAATTACAGATATATTGTCTCTATAAAACAGCCTTAAATTGCTTTAAATCTCTGAATCCAAGCCTAGTTTTCCATTGCTTTGTAAGATAACAGATCAAGTTCATCCAGGGGTTAAACCTCCTGAATTAATAATGTTTTGGTAAATTGAGCAGTGTTGTGCACGGCATTTGGCAGGAGCCGACCATCTTTAGTGTGTCACTGCTTGAAAACATTGCACCCATTCAACCTGATAGGAAATACCAGCACCATGAGTTAAAAAGCATTGACGTTTCTCCAGAAGTTGTTCCAGCAGGTGTATCCATCTGCCCCTTACAAGTTCCCTGCTTCCCTATTCCATGGATGTATAATAAGATTCCCTATTTGGCTGTCTCTTGTGTGTTAGTGGGCCGGTTGTTCCTGTTCCTCCCCCCCCCCCTCCCCTACCCCTCCCCCATAGTGACGTGGTGAGAAAAGTTTTAACAATGTGCAGGGAGGGGAGGGAGCATGAACGCACCAATACACCGGGCTGAACACTGATAACTGCAGCCACTGTGGACCATTGGAGACACACACCGGGGAGCTGTTCTAACTGAAGGAGCTTTATTTAGTTTGACTTTATTTATTAATTTATTATCTGAGTTGTATTTATTTCTATCCAAGATGAACGGAGTGTCGAGAAGTATGTGTACATTTGAAGACATCAGAAATCAAGAGCAGGCGGTGAGTTATTCCTTATATGCTTGTTTTTATGTATTTTATGCTAAATACAATGATAAAGTAGACCTTTGTGTACTTCTGTGTGTTGACCTCTATGGGTGCATTGTGGTACAATAAGACATTTGCAAAAGGAAACCAATGTCAAAAGCTTAAGTCCTTTTTCCCCACTTTTGGATCTGTTGGATCTTTTCTCACTTAAAACACTTGTAGGTTTCTATTCTTGCTTTCTTTTTCCTTTACATGACCCTGCTCAGTTGTGTATACTGTATTAGAGGTTGGTTTACTTACAGATCTTCAGGTTTCACCTCCTCTAAGTGGTGTATTAACTGTTTAGTCTCTTGTTGTGATTAAAGTTTTAGCCCCCCCAACCACAAGCACATGTTCTCCCTACCAACATATAAAGGCATCAGCTCAGAATTAGTCCAATTTACATTTGTCAGTCACAGGGGCCTTCTACCCACATCATTCAGGGGCTTACAGTTGCATTTGTGACAGTGTGAAGCCCTGTAAACACTTAGCTTGTGCAGTATGTGTGCCACCTGTGCATGAGGAGTTTCCTTAAAGAGGATTAAACATCCTTGACTTTGGCACAGACTTCTGATACTTGCACTGTGAATAAGTGATCACTAGTTGCCTGTTTCACCTATAGAAGAAGGGTTTTATTAGCACTCTGTGGCTGCAGAGGTTTTAATAATTTACCTCGACTGAAAAAGCAAACTGTTAACCTGCCCTGTGGTTTATGAGGTTGCTGAGTAACATGACACTTTCCCCTTATCAGCAGCCTCCCGCTGAGTACAAAACCTGTCTGCAAAAGATCCCTTCAACCCATCACAGAATAATATATAATAGGCATTACAGTAAAGAGTCCTCATAATGGTTATGTTAAGTTAAATAGTATGATGAGAGCGCCGTGCATTGATATTGACATGTGTGCCAATCTAGACAGTTAATGTTTTGTAACTGTGTGAAGGGGTTTTGTAACTGTGTGAAGGGGTCAGAGTATACAAAGGGCAGCTCCACTCACACACCTGATAAACCGATTATTGGTGGAGAGGAATGTGTCATAAAGCAGTATATGAAACTCCAAAAATGTTCAGCTTCTGTGTTATCTATCATACGGTACATTTCAACATGTGACTGAAAGCATATTTGAATGAGCTCTATGAGGAAAAATGCAGCTTTATCAAAGTCAAATCCAATAGTCACCCACATTCAGTTTTTTCCATATCTGATAGGGTTATTAACGTCCGACTAAACAAAGCAGCAAAGATATTTTTTTATAATGACTTATTAACAAAAATACCCCTTTGCTATTTATCAGGAAGTGTTTCTGATAAGGATGTGCCTGATGTAGCAGAGAAAGACCTTCAGTGGGTGGTTTGTGTGCTTCCTGGAACGGAGATGATGTATAAAACACAAGGAACACCCAGGCCTGGCTTTGAAACTAAATGTTACGTTAATAGCAGAAAATATTCAGCTTTTATTTGAAAATCATTTAAATGTTCTGGCATAATTCCTCCTCCCAAAAAAACTGTTATATTGGGCACTTTTTGAATAATGCCACAACTTTCCCCCCAGACGTTTAGTTCCTTGTGTCGTGTGACCTCACACATTCCTGCTGGCTTTCCTCATCACAGACACCATCTCAGTCAGGAGTGTGTGACGTTACTAGCTGGGAATGAGCCAGACATGACATAGGAGATGCATCAATGTATAGGAATGATCGTAAAATGCAAAATCCTACCTGGTTCACACGCAACAGAGAGCAGGAGAAGATGATTATTGATGGAAGGATGACTGTAGTAATTATATGTCTGTTCTGATGAAAGCTCTCACTTCATGACTCAAATCGAAGTGTTCACCTGTTGTTGGAAATACACACACACACACACACATGCACACACACACACACACACACACAAACCTCCAAACGCTTTACTTCACACCTCAACTTGAGTTGAACTGACTGCTGACTGGCCATAGGGCGCAGCGTGACAGTCAGTCACCCTTCACTACTGTGGGAACTACAGCTCAAGGATTTTATCCTAAAACAGGATATATTTAAAACTGTGGCTGCAGATGACGTTTCTATTGTGAATTGATTAATATACTTATTATTTACTATTTTTAATAGAGTCCAAAGGCAATGTGGAAAGTTGTTTGTCCTACCAAAATAACAAATCCCAGAGGTACTTCATTAACTATTATTAAAACATAAAAAAGAAGAACATCCTGACATTAAAGCAGCTTGAACATGCAAATGTTGAATTTGTTTCTTGAAAAATGTCAGTTTTAGATTGTCAAACTATTTGCCAATATTCTTTCAATCGATTAAAGGTTGAAGCTTTGTTGAGCAGGTCAAAATATGTCTGCACTATAGAGAGTATCTGATGGGGTTCGAATACTTGGCATTGAATGCTTCTATTTTTTTAGTCTTGTTTGCTTTTTAATTGATCAAATATTTCCTGATGTTAGTCATAACTTTGAGGTAAAGTTCCTGTTCACAGGCTTACTATGTGTTGAGAGAACTTTAAACACAGATGTACTGAGTAATCAAATTATGCTAATGGCGAAAGCTGTGGGAAAATACGTGTATCCTAGTTCCTTGTATGAGTAAGGTAATAGAACTCAGGTATGGTATTGGTCACTTGATACCTGCCTCAGTCTCACAGCTGTCGCCTCAGAGGTTTATTAAGGAATGGACAGAAGACAAAAGGGGCACAGTGTGGGAAAGTAGCTCATGAAAGGAAAGAGTGATTTAATGTACGATGAAGTACACACAACTGTGGAATTTAGTTGTGGTATGAAGGTACAACACCTGCAGGCAACATGTGTTTATTTCCAAGATCCCTGCTTCTGCATGAGTTCAGAAATCTGAACATCACGTTCTGTTTGAAACTGGCAGCGAGCTCTAAAGAACATTTCGTTTTTTTAAACCAAATCCAGCAGCTCTGTCTTTTTATCAGCAACTGACCTGATCTACAGGCCTCAAACACAGAAAGCATCCTCATACCCTTTAATCCTTTCTGCCCGGCAGTACCCTGTGGTCTTTTGTGCTCATTGTCCGAACACCCAGCAGTGTGCTGTGTGTGTGCTTAGTTTCAGGTTTCTGCCCTCTTGTTAAGGTACTGTGTACTTTTATCTGTGTGTTTTTCCGCGTGCGTACATGTACACACATACGTCACCCTCCATGAACACATCCAACTGGTGCCTTTGTCTGTGATCCCGGGAAGTCTAGTATTACAGGTTGTAAAGTAGTATAGATGGCATTTTAGTGTGATTTATAAAAGAGCAAATGGGCAGAGAGAGTAGCATGTCAATAGTCGCTGGCTAAGAGAGGATTAGCGGACTCTTTGTCTGGTTGTCTATGGAGATCAAGAGAGATTGTATAATGATGGATTCCTTCTCAACAACCCTCGCACTGTTCCCTCTTTATCCCCCCTCCTTTCTTTTTATCCCCCCCTTTTCCTGTGTTAAAGCTTTCAGGTGTTTGTAATCTAAAGCATGTTGAACAAGAGGGACATTTTTTGCTTTAATTTCCCTGAGTTTCGTTTTTCGTAGTTGGACCCCCCCCCCTCTGATTTATAACCTCTTACTGCCCTTTATCTCTGCTTTACACAACGCTGCACAGTGTATTGTCCCTGTTTGGCTAACATCCAGGTCGGGGTATCCTGCATATCAGACGTGATTTCTACAGCAGAGAAAAACATACACTCGTGGCTTAAACTCTTACTGTAAACGGCAACAACTATTGGCTTAGTAAGAAGCCGCAATTAACATATTTGTCCACTATTAATTTGATTGTTTAATCTATTGAAGGTCAGAAAAGAACACACCCACATGACAGCCATTTCTTCTTTGCCTTTTCAGTCTCAGAGTTGACATGAGTTTAATAACCAGGAGGACACAGTAAATGTATACGGGAAGATAAACAGAACAAGATGTCGTTTGCTGGAATGAGTTACGTAATGTCTCTGACCTCCTCCCTAACATACTCACACTCACACATGCACACACACTCTACAAGGGGGTTCCCTGCAGTACACACACCCATTCACATCCCTTTCCTGTTTAAAGACACTTCTCTCCTTCAACTCAAAGTAAAAACAATTTTTTGTTTTTGTTTTCGAAGCCATCTGTGCATTGTTTTGTCTCTGACTTGCTCCTCCCAGTGAAATGGTTGGCGTGCCAGGCAGTTTATCGCTTCTGTGAGGATTTTGTTACCATGGAAATGTCCTGTCTGGCTTGACATTACATTTTCTGCCCACTTTCCCAGAAATCAAGCCTCTGCTTCCAACTGGCTGTGAGCGCCTGGAGAGTTTCTGCCTAAAGTCCCTCTGACGTCCATAGCACACAATTTAATTCAAACAATCTGTCTCTGTGCAGCTGTAACACACTTTTGGTTTCTCTCTGACGCTCGTTGTACTCCCTCCTTCTCTTACTGGGTACTCTCTCCCTCCTCTGTTTCTGACTTTGAGTATGACTCAGTCTCTCCTCCTCTTTTTCCTCCTCTCCTCAAAATAGTCCTCAACAGTCTCTCCAAAACATAACGGTCTCTTTGTGGTTTCACTTCATCGTGTCCTCTCTTGGTTGCTTTTTTCAGGAGGGGTGCAGGAGACTGCGACTCACACTGCACGACCAGAGGCAGGCAGCCCAGAGAACGGAGCAGTACAGGGACAAGGTAAGAACTTCCTGCACCTGATAACTTAGTCTGCAACCTGGGCTGTAACACCGATGTAGAGAACAGACCTGGGAATCGGGACTGTAGGAGATATAGGAATGTTGCAATAGAAAAACATTCATCACTGTTTTAGATGCATGGTTTAGATACTTAAGGTGTTATTTATCATGCTGTTACTGTACATTTCAATTGACTTTTCAACCTTAATGCATCCACTGTGTCTAGTTTGTTCTACGACGAAAGGAAAAAGAGTAGCACTGTTTTCTTTTAAGGCGAAGTGATCGTCATTAATGCCATATTTGGATTTAAAGATTCAGACAATTCATCTTAATGAATCCCTCTCAAAAATACTGAGGATTTATCTCCGAGCTACCGTAGCGTACATTCACACATCATCATTATCACGGCACATGCCCACACACAATCTGACAGAGACACAAACTGCTTGTAAAATGCCACAGCTGCCACACCAAATGTCAAGAAAAGAGCCGAGATAACAATTGTTCTCCCAAAACCAATGCAAAAGTTACATATAAAGACATCCAGAGCAGCAGTTTTGTCTCCCGACCTGCCGTCTCTGTTTATGGTTGTGATGAAAACTGAATAATACCTCCAACGAAAGCAGATGTTTTTGGGTTTGTCTCCAAAAATGTTTCTGCCTTTGGATAATAGAGACTCAGTCACACAGGAATACTCCCTGCACCCAAAAAGACACAGATGGTGTTTATCAGAATGGCATTTAAACAGAAGTACTCTTGGCTTTCCTTTTAAACGTTGTGTCGCAATATTGATCCAAACCCCGCTCTAGCGTCAGTGACTTAACATCTGTTTGCTGATGATGTGTATCACACCCATCCTCATGAACTCTGTGCGTGCCACATTGTTAACTCCTCTCTAATCTGCAGCCAGTCGGACGAGCTTATGCACTGGTGCAGCCGGCCGCTGACAGGACATCTCTGAACCCTGAACCGGTCAAGTACAAAGAGGAGCAGGTGGAGGTTATCAAGGTATGTGTTGTCTTTTTTTTTTAAAAGAAATATCTGATATGTTAATATAGATTTGTCGTGGAGTTTCAGTGTTAATCATCCGTGCCTCTCTCGCCCTGTCCCAGGTGTATCTAGAGGCCCGTAAACAGGAGCAGCAGAAACACCAGCAGAGCCTCAAGATGCTGTCGGATGAAGTTTCACAGATACAGGAGGTCAGTCTCTGGACAGTGTCTACTGTAGCTCTGACGCACATTTGAAACACACACTATCACTACAGTCTCTGTCTGGTGTTACATATAACGATTTGCATCATGTAAATTCCTCCGTGCTTCTAGACTTAGTCTCTACCTGTTGCTAATAAAGTCTGCTGTTTAACACTTCATAGCATTTGCAGACATTCAACACATACCTGTTAACTAATAAACACATGTCAGTAACTCACAATGTGTCTGTATTCATCGCAGGTGAGGTATTGCCTGAAGACGCTGAGGGAGCAGATGGCAGCCAAAAACAAGGTAGATTTATTTTTGCTTTATTCTGCCCTCCACATTGTTAACCCTGCTTCCTGTGAGCTTAATGGCATTTCCTCCATCCTCTTTCACTCTTTAGTTGCTGACTTCCCCTTTTTCTCTCTACAGCCGCTCACAAATGGGTGGAAAGTTGGTCTTCCCTTCAGAAGGAGCGCCCCGTCTGCCCCTAAAGACGAGGCTAAAGCTGAGGCACAGGTGAGCATTCAAAGTGGTAAACACTCAATATGTGTGAGAAATGCACATATCAAATCTCGCATTATATCATAGCAACAGCTCCTCTGTTTTCCTCTGGACAATGTGTTCTTGTTCGTGCGATGCCTGTAAAGCAGTCCCCTCCCAGAGGCACACCGAAGACGTAAAAAGGAGGTATAAAGTTAAACAGAGACACACTGAGACATGGGAGGGGGGAGAGGTGTTGAAATGACAGCATAAGTGAAACTATGCTTATAGCACCCCGGGGTGTAGGAGGAAGCCTTTCCCAGCACACTCTGTTCCTCTCCTCTCTGTGTTGTTGAGTTCAGGCCCTCCCTATTGTTCCCAGCATTCCACAGATACCTCTCCTTTAATGGTTTTGTTGCTGTGTTTGAGCCACACACTTTTAGCATCCACCACTATCTGCGCGTCGGTTGTGTCTCGTACAATTACAAACAAAAGCTTGACATCACTTTGTTTGGTTGAATAGTTTTTGTGCCAATTATAGTATCTATATGTGACTCACGCCGTGGTGCGCTCACAGAAACGTTGCACAAATTAGGAGGGAAAGGCACGTCCTGATCCAATGACGCACACTGACACGCCTGTTGGCAGCCACGGAAAAGAGGATGTTCAATGATATCAGGAAAGCATCTGTCTATCAATCCAGAGTAATATTGTTGTTTTAAGGTCAATGGTCTGTGTACAAAACAGTTGAATATAAAGTGTTTACAACATCAGATCCTAGTAGGTGTGGCTTTTTTGACACTGATTAACAGAAAATAGGTGGAAACCTGGTCTCAATGTAGGGCTGCTCGATTATGACAAATCATAATCTCGATTATTTGGGTCAATAATTGATATCACGATTATTAAAAAACGATTATCCATTTACTTTGAAAACATCAATTTATTGGAGAAAAACATTTGAACAGTATGTTTTTAACAGTTTATTACCCTGAACTTTAAGTATAATTCAACTGAAAAACCAATACAACAAATATTTAATTTGAAAAAAAAAAGTAATAATAAAAAGATAATCGTTTTATTTCGATTACGTTGTTTTCGTAATCGTTGCAAGCCATAATCGGAATTGCGATTAAAATATAATCCATAAATAATCCAAATAATTTCAATATTTAAACAAAAAAAGATTTGTTTGCCAAATATTGAAGTCAGTATTTAGCAGATTAATCTCTGATGCAAGCTCAGCCAGGTTGCATAGAGACATGTGCTTATGATTTACATTCTGATTAACTCCTTAATATGAGGACATAATATCTGCTAATCTAACATTTGATCCTTTCTCTTTCAGGAAGCAGATGAAGAAGCAGAGAGAGCCAAGCTGAGGGAGGTCAGTAAGCGCTTGTATGCTCAGCTACAGGAAGCAGAAAAGAAACACCAAGAGGATAAAGAGAGGCTGCAGGTAACACACATCTACAGAGCTTATTTTCACAAATATCACCAATTATAATGTATACTGTATTTTGGGTGCACTGAAACTGCATTTAACACTAAAACAATAAGCATCCCCTCTTTTCCTCCCTGTCTCCTCCAGGCTGAGAGTAGCAAGCTGAAGGAGCGTCTGAGCGAGGAAGAGGAGAAGCTGAAGACCACAGAAGAAGCCAGCGAGAGGAAAGACATGCGCATAGATGACCTGCAAAGGCTGCTGGGAGGGATGGAGCAGGAGAGCGCCACCCTGAGGGAGGAGATGAACAGCCGCGAGGTGGAACTCCATGAGCTGCGCAAAATCAGAGAGGAGGGCCAGAAAGGGGGGCAGAGGTCGGTTAACTCAAACACATGAACAGAAAACAGCATTTATTAATTAGTGCCAATCAAGTCACAGTTTTAACTCTGTGTGTATTTTTAGGACTGAGCAGCTGGAGAGGGAGTTGGCAATTCTCAAAGAAAAGATCCACCATCTGGACGACATGCTGAAGAGCCAGCAAAGGAAAGTCAGACACATGATTGAACAGGTGAGGCGCACATGTGTGAGATTTAGTGAAGCAAACACACACTGTCTCCATGTTCATATTTGTGCAGGGTTTACTGACTGTTTGTTTTTTGGTTCTTCAGCTCCAGAACTCTCGCATGGTGATCCAGGAGAGAGACCGCGTGATCAAAGAGCTGGAAGAGAAAGTGGCTTTCTTGGAGGCTGAGGTGAGTGATGCTTGTTGTCTATAAAGAAAAATATTTGCATGGCTTTAAAGTGGAATTCAGAGTCAGGATGAAGTGCAAGGCATAGCAGGAGAAAGGAGATCAAATATGTTCAGATAAAGAGGTTTTTATGTTTTGTGGCCACATGCATTTTTGTCTTATTGCTGTTATGTGAACTGACCTCTGACCTCCGCCTTTCTGCAGAACCGAGAGATGCATGACCAGATGGATTACTTCATGGGAGGACAAAGGTCAAACTCCTACCTTTCATCCGAGCGCAATCCCCAGATCGTCTACAGGTATCTTATTTGACCCTTCCTCTTCATATTTCTTTTACCTGCAAACATTTACAAGTCCTACTGGGCCCTTTTTGCTGATGCTGGCAAGTATTACATTCATTGTTCATTTAATTATGCAGATTTGATTAAACGGGTCCCAAAATACAGTACAAACACACACTAAAATATTCCCCTGTTCTAGTTGTACACCTTCACACAATAACTTATTTTTATGCTGTTCCAAAATACAATTGACTAATTTCTCTTTTTCCTCTCCCCTCAGTAAACCAATCAAGCCTTCCAACTCCTCCAACAAACCTCTGCCTTTCATCAAAGTCATCGAGATCAGGTCATGAAGTAACCCCGCAGAAGAAAGACACGGTATTGGACCACAACACCGTTTCACTGCAGACTGAAAACAAGCACGACTCTACGATCGCCCACATCTGATTTCGCCGATAGTCGAGATGTTGGAGTTGAGCTTCCCTGGACTGTAACTACATCAAAACTTCCACCAAACCTCAAACACTCCTTGAAGGAAACTGTGTGAAGATTTGCGACACACGCACCACAACTTGCTTTGTCTATGCATAATGTGTGAATTTGAGCTCGATATAGATACTTTAAGCTGATTCAGCTAATGTGCATTTTAAGTTTTACATGTGATACTGCGTACCTCGTGCAAGTGTTTCCGTGTGCTGCCCTGTTGTGATCGCTTTATTAACCTTTGAGATATGACAATCTCGTGTTGTTGTATCAACACAGAACTGTGCGGGTTGGCAGACCTTTTGCCAAAGTGGGTTATGATATTATGAAATTCACATATAGTGATGTAGCAACATAGCTAACTAAGCTAAATGTTTTCTGTAGCAATCATTAACCCGAGGATCTACATCCAGTGTCCTTTTACTGAATAGTCACTCATCCTCCATGACTCCATTCACGTCACTGAGTGAATGGTATAATGCTCTAAACGTGTAAATACCGTTTATAATTTATACGAGGTCAACACCCTCTGATGTGTTTTTTAAGTCCTTAACAACTATTTAGCACTTCCTGAAGCTGTGAGGAAGCAGAAGGATGGAGTGTCAGTGGTGATGAAGATATTTAACATTACTGCTTCAGGGAAGTGTCGTTCTACATATTTCTTGTAAAGCATTTCAGTTCCTTATCATTTTGTAAACTGTCACCTTGTTTGTACATATTAATAATAATGAATGTGATTTGATATTGATATTTTAACTTCCTAACAGCTTTCTCCTTTGTATTTATTTATATAAAACCTCTAGACAGATTGTGTAAAGTAAATTCTAATCTATTATCTGTGTTTGTGACTTTCAGAATAAATTACTGAAAATAATATAAAGCTTCTTTTGTCTCCTCACTGAACTCAAGCATCCGTAGGAATTCAATGCAGATTACTATGAAAGGTGCGCCCTCTGCTGGACACTAACGTGACATTACCTTATTGTGCTGATCACTGTTAATAACATTGAAACGCTTTTACAACATTTTGACTGCATGTCACTGTTTTATTCGGATGGCAACTTATACAATAAGCATCACAGAAAATAATAATTCACCTGAATGTTCCCCTGATACGAGAATTAACAAACATTTCAGACATCTGGGGGCCAGTCAACCTTTTTAAAAAGAGATCTCCCCTGATGCTACATTATAATTGCATAAATGCACTGGGAAACAGTTAAATTACATTCCACTGAGAGATCTGATTAAATCTTAAGAGCACTTAATAATCACAATTCATTAAATCAAGTATGGCTTCTGTAAAACATGTTTAAGGCTAAAAACAGCAAATGAACCGCAGAGACATACATAGATGTAAACATAAGTGACATAAACAGTGTGTGTTTTTCAACTATTAACACTGGGATTTATCTACAAACATTGTTAGCATTTAAATACACTTGGTTAATTATAACAATTCTGCATAGGCTTTTATAATTGTGCAATAAATACTGATTGTCATGTATGTGTGTGCCATTGCATAGCCGAGAGCTCCAGTGTTGTTTTGGTCAAATCAACCCTACTTACCATAGTAACTCACTATAGTCATTTTCTACCTAATATAACACTTGTACATGCATTAATACAGGATATATGCATAGGCTAGGTAGAGCAGTTTGAAGTGCATTATACTTTGAACTAGGCAATATGTGTTAGTATATGAAGGCAGTGCTTTTTCATTTCACCCTAAACTACCGATCTGTAGGCACTTAAATCACAGGAAGCTCTACCTTGTCTTTGACCTTTCTCTCAGGTGCGAGTCACATATTTTCAGAACGAACTGTCCAGAGTGTTGTAGTTGTCTTTGAAGTTCTTCAGCTCCAGGAAGTGTCTGGGCCGCTTGCTGCGCTGCTGCATCGACGATGTGAGGTAGGTGGTTTGGGTGGGGGAGGAGGAGGAGGAGCTCATTGGCTCCGAGGTGCCGATCAGGTCTTTGGCGGCCGAGTGGTGGTGCTGGCTCGGAGTGCTGCTGCTGCTGCGAGACTTCACGCTGAAACAGGAAGGAAGAATCAGATTGACCCAATGATAGATTAACATTCCACAGTGGGATTAGCATAAAAGTGAGGCTGAACTGCGAGGAGAGGAGAGGTTGTGTTTACTCACACAGAGGCCAGTTCAGTCAGTGCTTCCTGGTATTTCAAAAACTCTGCTTCACCAAAAGCCTACAGACAAAAAAATAGGTAAAATGACAAGACATCCGTACATTTGACAGCTTTTCCTGCAGTCGCAGTTCACTGTACACAACAGGAGGGACTATATGGTGAATAGCAGAAGCACTAATAATAAGGATAATATACATTTGTAACAATTTTGTCAGAAGACCACAATACAGCCACTAAATAAACTGGTTAAATGTTTGGTCAAAAAAAGTCAGAAAATTGTGAAAAATATACATCCCAGTCTGTCAAAGACCAATTTGATGTCTTAAAATGTCTTGTTTTGTAAGTCAAACTCACAGATATTCAGTATATGACTTCATTAGACAGCCTAACAACTGTATTTTTTTCTGCCATTATTGCATTATTAGTATAACAATTAATCTATTACAAAAATAGTCAGCAACTATTTTTCTGTTGATCAGCTATGACATTGAGTTCTATGGAGCACAATGACTATTAAATCAATTGTGTAACAAACATGACTTACAAATACTCTCCTTTCATATTAAGCATACCTATATGATTTTGTTGCCAGTTTAAAACAATTGTTTTGCTCTTTATTTAGACAAGGTACTGTCACACAATATTGCCATGATGTGTCTTAAGAGATGTAAGTTCTTCTCACAAACGGACAGAGGGACACTGACCTCTGCCCCGTGACGGGCTTTGTTGTATCCGTCCAGCACCTTGTCGATGAGCGAGCTCAGACTGTTTTGGAACATGCACTGGGACTTTCGTAGCTGCAGAAGCCACGTCCGAAGTCTTTTACCCGTCACAGCGGTAGGTGTGCCGCCGAGTTCACGGAAAGGTAGATCTGTTGACAGAAAGTACAAGTAGAATTGTAACAGTTTGTCTTTACAACAAAACCAGAGTGTGACCAGATTGTTGACAGCAAAGCTTACCGGTGTCTCTGATGGCATCCAGTGCTTTCATCCTATACAGGAAGTTATGAGAACCTACAACAGACACACACATTATTCGGTTCAAAACTACTCGTATAGATAGTTTCAGGACTAGTGTATATGAGTGTGTGTTGTTGCATATGCTTCTTACCAGACTGTTCTCTGTGCTTTAGCCGGTCGTCATCTAGGGACAGCAGACGAGGCTCAAAGTGGATTTTCTGGACCTGGCAAAGTTTGGCTTCAATTTCTTGTCTCAGCTCCTACAGCGCAGACAACAAACACCTATCATATTTGACCAGAAAACAATGCACATCAACAGACTTAAGTGTAATTGTGTGGGTCACCTTGGGAGCATTGTGGCCGATTGGAACATGTGGTCCTCTCCGAGACTTCATGGCAAATCGCACAATTTGCCTTTTGACAAAGATGAAGAGCAAAACAAACACCTGGAAAAAAGTCAGGGGTTAGTTTTATTTGTACGCCCCTTTTGAGCATACTGAGCAGAATGTCTGTGGATCATAACAAATCATAATGCAAATAAAAGTTGTGCAGTAGAAAGTAAAATATATCCTCCCTAGATGTAATGGAGTAAAAGAACAAAGTTGCAAGAAATAGAAATACTCACGTAAAGTAAAAGTATCTCACCTTTGTACTTAGTTATAGTACTTTAGTACAGTGCTTCTCAACTGGTCAGGCCTCGGGACCCACTTTTTCCTTGGTCAATAAATGGCGACCCGAAATTTTTGAACCACTAAAATCTATTCAACAAAAAATCGTGCTGTAATATATACGCTTTTCAGCATACAATATTAATTAAAGTGAAGTACAGTATCCCTTATAGGCTATCCCTTCACAAAACTAAAGAATGCTTTTAAAATAAAAAGGCAGATTTGGAGCCAATCCTGCAAATTCACCACACGTGAAAAACATGACATGCTGAAAACCCAACCCCAGCATGGGGGTCTGGGGGGATTCTCCCCCAGGAGATTTTTAGAAATACTAACATATAAACTACCTGGTACACTCTGAGAAGAAAATAAATAAATACTAATATTAATAATATTTTATGCGATTGTTTGTTTTTCACTTTGTTCTGACAGCTGAACTTGCTGCTCCACACAGAGAGAAGAGTCTGTGTGAATTACTTTAAATTGTGGATAAGGGTAGATAGCCCCCATTGTTCTGTGACCTGTCAATCATCAAACCCGGGGTCATATCTCATTATGTGTTCTATCTGAAGTTGTACGCATGGATGTATAAAGAATAGTTCTACCGCAAAGTTATTCTCCGTGGGGACTTCCGGCAACAATCTTGATTCTGATTGGCCAGAAGACTCGAAAAAACATCAGCAAAGATGTTTTATCGAGAAGATGATCACTACGTGACGTTTTCAAACCCGTTTCTGGTCTCCGGTACTTCCACTCCAACTGCATGCACAGCGGGCCTTCAAAATAAACGTTTTTTTTCTTCACTCACATCTGCGACCCACTTGAAACGGGTCCGCGACCACCAGTTGAGAACCACTGCTTTAGTACATGTACTTAGTTACATTACACTAACTGTGTGTGCCTTGTAATGACTCAGCATAGGATTTTGAACTCTGTCCAGTTAAGGGACATATTGTGTGTTTCATAGTGAAAATGAAGCCATTTTGACTATTTGAAATAATAAGCTTTGTAAACAGAAACTCTGTAGTGAAAATGAACCAAAAATATGTTTTAAAAAACTACGCTTACAGGCTTGTCATCGCGAGAGTTAACATACACCTGACCTAGGTAAGAAAATGACACAGATATTTGAGAAACACACTCACCAGACTACCGTAGGCCATTACAAGCACCACGTTAACGCTGGAGAGGAGAGTGTCGCTCCGCATCTTGAAGCGGTGTGTTTAAACTACAATAAACTAAGTTTAGTTACCGCTTGCTAAATGACGGAGGGTGCGTCCAACACTTGACACTTGAAAGCCATTCAGTGTCCCTTTAGAGCTCGTTTTTAAAGCACACGAAGATTACATTAAACGCAACACATAAAACAGGGAAGTAGGTAAAGTAAAGTGCTTTTTAACATTTCGCTGACCGGTTTGTTGACTTCCGCATTGGTCAGGTGACAGGTACGGGCGGGCAGGACTGACGTCAGAGCAGACGTTTCCACGGCCTCTCCTGCCATCTGCTGCTGACGACCTGCAAACAAACAAAAACACTGGAGGGAAGAAACTACGATGTTCTTCAAGTGAGTGCAATTTTTAGGTCTCTAAATACTTGCCTACGTTACTGCCTTTACTTGTAAAAGAGTGTATTTACGTTTTCGAAATGTTCAATGGTTCTATTATCAAATGCACAGTAGCTAGTGTAGTTATGGCAACAGAATAAGATGGGCTAAAAAAGAATGTAAAAATGAAATACTGTACAGAATATATTTGTATTACTATTTTCACGTAAAAGATCTGATTAGGCTACTAAGGCAAATGATCCAAACACCAATAACAGAAGAACAAGATATAAGGATATTTCTGTAATATCCACATAACACAATTCCCAATTTCTTTTGTTCTTGTTTTTTGTTGTTGTGTTATTCAGGGAATGTTGTTCAAAGTTCTATGCAATAAAGTAAAAAACAAGATGATAAATAAAAACAGGCATACTAAAACAGTTGCCAATACTTCCCGATAAAACCAAGCGATTAAATGTATAACAAATAAGAAAAGATACAGAAAAAACAGGATAAAAAAAGGATTGCATTAGTACATTTAATCAGATAATAATGAACACTAAAAGTAACAGTTACAAGAAATCCCCAAGGCTCCTACAAAATGGGCTGAGCTGCCAACTTTCCTACTCATGTGACAGTTCCAATCCAAAAAGACACAAAGTTCAGAGTGAATTGTATTTTATCGATGGATTGCTTCACACTAAAAGCATGCAGACTATTTATATCCACTGTGACCCATTGATTAAATACCATAAATTGCCCTTTTCTCACATGGCCTCTGGTGCCTACACCCTAAAGAATGAATCTATTGAACCAGTGTGTCTGTGTGAGCAGAACAGCGATTTGCATCCATCCTGTTAGACAATAAGTGCCATTCTTCTGTCCGGGACAAGGGGGGTGTTTGGGATTTGAACTGGAGCTATTTACCCCTCCTCACAGACTAATCTCTGTCCTAAGGAGACCATGCGACCTACCACCCCTCTGGCTTATCATTTATTGGATTCTAAGACCTAGCCTATAGGATCAATGTCTCCACTCAGTCTATTTCGGCTTTTGACAGGCACTCACTTTAAGATGTGTACTCTTATGTAGCGTTGCAGCATGCTGACCACAGTTTCCTCTCTTTCAACGGAAGACAATTGCAGGTGCATGCCAAAAAGAATCAGTACAACAAGAGCGTCTACACAACAAACATAACTGTAAGTACTAGAATTGAATATTTTGATTGTATTTATCGCTGTCCTTTTGCTTTTTGTACATGTGACTGTTCTTACGCCTTCCCACATTTCACGAAATCTTCTTCTTCTTCTGCTTCTTCTTTATCTCAGACACTTTTCTCCTGTAGCCTGTTGTTTTGTTTAACACATGTCATACGAGAGGTGTACTTTTAACAATATTAATCCCTGCTGGTATTTCTGGGCCCTTTGTTGTCTCTGGTCCCAATTATAGGTGCTCTGTTATTATGTATTTTGATACCTGCTCAGCCCAGATGACTGAACTAACATTTACCCTGAGGTGGGGTTATGTAATAAGACTGTTGGAAAATGTCATTTGTGTCTGTTTCACACATTAATCTGGACTGCATCTTCTCTCCCTTGAGCTATGAAATGCTAATGTGTGAGGGAGCTTAAGGTTTGAATTGTCAGTTGTGTGTGTGTGATTGTGTGTCTGTTAAACATTTCAGTGGGTGACACATTGAACTGCTGTCAGGAATGCTACCCTGTGAGAAGAGGAAAAGAGGGAGAAAACAACAATGGGAGGGGGAGGAGAGAGAAAGAGAGACAGAGAGAGAGAGGATGAGAGGATAAACCAGTGTGGCAGGTTTGCGTCACTGTACACACTTCATCATGCAAAGCAGACAGAGAGAGCACAAGACAGAGAGAGAGAGAGAGAGAGGAGTTGAGCTGATGTCATTGCAGAGCGCTGCCTTTATTATGAACCTGTTTCACACAGCGGTGTAGGACAAGAACTCATTCCTAGGTAAGGTAAGGCACATGTGTTTGTGGATGTGGGATCTATTTGTGCTAATTCTTGATTATGTGAGTGAGTGAATGTATTGTGTATATGTCTTGATGCATTTTTGTTTCCTCGCTCTTCAATCTGGGTTTAAAGTATACTGAGCAGTGTTGCCTGGTTACCCAGATGGGAGGCTTTGACCTAACAGAACAGGTGTTTCTGTAAACCGACACTCAGACTCACCTTCATTGGAAAGCACCACGGAGACTGTCTCCCACAGTAACACGCTGACACCTAAACAGCTTCATACAATGATGCAGCCATTTCTTATCTGCTTGCTAGTCCTGTTGTATTTGTACAGTAAATCAACAGCTTACACTACTTGTGTTCAACGTCAAGATAGATCGCTCTTAATTCTGCCTTGATTAATGATCAAAGATGGTTTCGGTGGTTATCAAACAATGCCTGTAATTTGAACAAGTGCCATTGTTCATCAGTAATACAATATATCCCCAAGCAGGTTGGATGTAAATGAAAGTGACTTTGTCCTCATCTTTGTCCATCTTATCTGATCGTTTCCCCTGAACACTGTTACAAAGTTTCAGTCAGTCGTTGTCCTCCTGTGGCTCTATGAGGCCGATACGCGCATCACAGAGACTGTTTGTTGTATTTGAATACATTGTTTTTACTGGGAGGATTGCAGTTTGGTGAGTTATTCCAGTTTTTAATTCAGGTTTTGCTGACGCTGACAGGTAGTCATGAGTATGTTGCTTGTGTAAACAGCCGTTATGATATGTGTGTGTACAACAGAGTGCATTATGTGAGTCAGTCCCACTGTTCTGTGAATGGGCTCATTGAGACAGTGTGAGGGGTATGTCAGCAGGGCAGAGACGTGTTGCCAAATGACATAATTTACAGGCGTTAAGTTTACAATAGTTTAGTTCTCTGGCCGTCATGCTCTTTCTTTTGTTCCTATTTGTTGTTCTTAACATTTTCATATCTTCTGCATTCACTGTCCTCTCTATTCTTCTCTATTACGTGTTGTGTTCCCTATCATCAAACACTATGTGCTTCTGTTTGACCATTTCAACGAGCCACAATCTACATATCACAACATTTCATCCCAATGCGATCTCAGGATATAAATGTGTACCTTTGTTATGCTTTGCAGGCAGTGGGAGCTGTTCTCTCAAGTCATGTTGGGGGAGCCAAAGAATCCAAGGGACAAAACGACAAGAGATCAATGAGAGAAGCCCAGTGGAGCTCTCTTCTCAACCACACAACAGACAATCATCAGACAGTTGCTCGGATTTGCTTGAATATCAAGTTCACTCCTCCGCTCTCTTTTTGGGATTTGGCACTTGACAGCAGGTTATTAACTTTGTTTATTCTCAGACAATGGACTTGTCCATGCTGCCTACTCAAGTGAGTGACTATGACAAGCAGCAGACAGGAGGATGCTTCACTGTGCGCTCAGCCAGCTCTCCGTCTTACCGTCTCACTCGCAGGCCAGGTGTCCGGAAAACAAGGAGTTTTCAAGAACAGGAGAAGGAGAGTTCTGAGGAAGTTGGCGAGAGAGATTGGACTCTCTCTGGCACAAATGGCACAAACCAGGAGGCGGATGGCACAGTCACTGCTTATCAAGCCAGGACTGGGAGTCGCAGCACTGTCAGAGGGCAGGGCGAGGAGCAGGAACCATCAGACCATAAAAGGACTATTAAGCTGAACCAGAATGGCACATCAGATCAAACTATCACAGAGTTTGGCACCGACAGAGGTAGAAACTGTAACCCTGCCTCTGAAAGCCGGGGCAGGACTGACTTGAGGAGACAAAACATGCAAAGTAGAAGTAAGAGTTTGGATTGGAGAGCGGGGGACACGAGCCCTGATCGGGGAAAAAAAGGCTGACATATCTGTGTTGTCACCCAAACAAGGCTCGAATGAAATAAGGACTGTAGTTGAATGTGTGGGAGACAGGGTGATATCTTCAATTCACGCCTATATCTCTGCAGATACAAGTAGTGAGAGGAGGCCAGCGAGTCTCATGAGTGAGACTTTGGACAGGGTCAGTCGGGGTAATTCTCTCCCCGTTAGGATTAGGTCCCTGTCTGGATCTAGCACCGGTGCCAGAGGGACAGCTTCTTCATTCGGACCCAAAGGAGGTCAGAGTATAATGGAGCGGATAGAAAAACTCTATGGATCAGCTAATTTTGATCAAATGGAGGATTCAAGTGACTTCTCTACTTCTTTGACATCCCATCACAGAGAAACAACTACAGACTCCCTTGTTTCGCCACAGCAGAGGTCATATGAGAGGGCATCAGGGGGAACCTTCCCCAGGTGTATGTCACCCGGAGAGAATAGCAGCATTGTGCCAAGCAGGAAATCATTCACCTGGACACAAAATGACACTAAAGGTTCTGAGAATTCAATTAATACAGGGACAAGCAGGACCAGGGAGAGACTGTCAGGGGTACAAGGGCAAGGACCGACCCAGAGCAGGTTTTCAGAGGAGGGGGGAGCTAAATGGGGTAGAGGGTTAGAGGAAATGGGCACAATGTCTCTGGATAGAGCGGGAAGCAGGTACTCTGCAGCAGCTCAGATAAGAGCTGCGAGGGCTGCAGCAGGAATTACTGCACCATATCCAAACACTTTCCCAGAAGAGGAGAGTTCATTTTCTTTGAAAGAAGAGCAGGAAAACAAGTCAGATAATGCAGCAAAAGACTGGACACTATTGAAGAGCAGCAGCATTGATGAAGATGTGTTTGTGTCACAGGATATCACAATAAAAACAGTTGAGAAGAAGAGATTCCCAGAAAGGTCGACTGCCTCTGCAGCCAGTGTGAGAAATAAGATCAATCAGTTTGAGGCCCTCACACAGAGAGGCCACAATTTAGTTTCAGCACAGGTCGTGATGCCAAGACGAGCCTTTTCTGTGCCAACACAACTCAGCAGTGATTATGATGGAGTAAAAAAGAGTGGATCAGCAAAAGCGATTGGTGGGTTGAGATACAAGCGGGAGGAATTGAAAAAGGGAAGGGAGGCAGGTGATGAGGCTGAGGAGAAAGTGGCAGGAGCAGGAAAGAAGCCCGGGTCAAACAGGTCTTTATCAGAGGATGAGGTTGGACTAAGACTAGGGAGGAATGAGAGAGAAGGTACTGATTCGAATGAAACACAGGAAAAGGGAACAGATAATCATTTTGCTGATGATTTCGAGAAATATTCTAGACTCAAGAGTCGATTGGAAATCCCGCTAAATGGAGGATATGGTAGAAACTTTTACATAGATGAGACAGATTTCCAAAAAATCTCAAGCCCTGAAGACTCTAGCCAGAGTCCATCTTTGCTACTGTCCAAATCCAGCAACACTTCTGCTGGTGTGCAGAAAGCACACTCTCTGGTTACTTCACCAGTTAGCGATGACGACGAGACTCCAACAAACTCTCCAAATAACTCACCTCTTCTTTCACCTACCACTCAACCGGAAAACATCAATTCCATTATAGGCAGGGAAAAGGAAAGCACTTCTGTCTTCGCAGTGTCAGCCAAAATTCCTGAACAACATTCCCGCCTTTTCCCTCATCCCCTGGCCAGTTCGTCCCACAGCGACCTCCCCGGTCTCATCTCTCCGGAG